ACAAATTATTTTCGCTTTTCGGCTCTTAATTTCTGTATAAAATCTAAACTTGTTTGAAAGTATTTCACATAATTTTCTTAATTACTTCATTTTTCTATTAAATTTTTAATTGTAATTATGTTGTATACCGAAATTACAAAAATAATTGGAATAATTACAATTGAAATAAAAAAAAAAAGTATAAAAGGTAAGAAAAATTTTCTTCATAAATTTTTCTTTTTTAAATCAGATTAAAATTAAAAATCACTTTAGAAATAAGTGAAAAGCCTCTTTAAAATCTAAAATTTTCGTTTAATTTTAATATTCCGGATTAAATTTTTGTTTTCTACAAAGAATGTTACATTAATTTGTGTATAGGTTTGTAATTTTGTACATATTTTGCATACACTTTTTAAATTTTATTTTTAGAAAATAAATTTAAATATTTTCTTCTTGTTTTCTAAAATCCTTGACAATGAAAGTCATTTCGTTTCTACAATATATACCTTTCCTATACACTTTCATTTTAAGTTTATACATAGAAGTTTATCCATTATCAGTGTTTGTATGTATATAGCAAATATTTGTATGCTTGTAAATTTTATTACGGTTTTTTTCATTCATTCATTGTATTTCCTGGCTTTCTTTTCTAGTGAAATATAAAAATTCTCTCTCTAGCTTTGTAAATTTTATAGTTTACCATTATCATAATATTCCACAAAGGAAAAATTGAAAAGGACATTCCAATTTTGTCACTTTTTTATCTTTCTTTTCTTGTATTTCTTATTATTTTTTTTTTTATTGTTTTTTCAATTTAAGCAATTTTTGTCTTCTTTTCAATTTTGAGAAAAAAGAAGGAATTTGTTGTTGTTATAACAAAAAAAAAACACAAGACTGTAAACAGACAATATTATGCCATTAGGACTTCAAAAGGATATTTTTGTTATATTTGCTTTTTTTTCTTTATTTTTTTACATAGCACTACTATGTATTTAAATAGATTCGAAAATAAAAATTCTTTTAAGGATCTCAGCAACAAAACACCAAAAATAAATAAGGAAAAAACTAAACAACAAAAAAAAAAAACATGTTAAAACAAAAAATTGAATAAAATGTTGAGAAAAGCTTTAAGAACAAGAAGGACATAACTAAGCACGAAGTGATATAAAAAGTAGAAAACATTGAAGGAAAGAACATAAAAAAAAATTGAAATCAAATAAAAAAAAAAAACGAAGTAAACCTTCAAAATCCTTACAAAACATTTATGAATTTTCAATTATTTATCCTTTCTTGTTTATTGTATTATCCTTTATATATGCATGAAAAATAAAATGTCTACGTGTTTAGGGTGTTTTATAATTTTTGTTTTTTATTTTAATTGCAATTTTAATTTTAGCAACAAGAGTTTTTTGGTTTTTTTTTTTTAAATTAATTTCATCTAATTCATATAAATCACATTCGGGAAATGAAAATTAAAATTGCGCCTGGTACATATGCAATACAATTGAACTATTTGAGTATAACAAGAATAAGGTTTTGATAAGGAAACAAATACTGGTAAAAGATCAATAATACTCTTAGAACTTCCAAAAATTTGTTTATTTTATAATTATAGTATTCAAGGAAATTTCTGTCCTGGAATGCCTTAGTTAGGTTTGGTTGCGAAATTTCCGAAATGACTTTTATTTGTGTTGAATTTTAAAATTTTGAGGATTTCATGAAGTTTAAAAATTGAATTTAGTTCAGTTAAACAATTTTTATTTAATACAATTTGTAATTTTCTCAATTATATGGAATTTTACTTTTTTCCAGTGGTCCGTGTCAGAAGCGAAAAAGGGTGGAGAAGTATTGCAATTTTAAAGATATCGGACCTCGCAAAATTTCACAGGTTTATAAATCACAATTTCTTTGCTTTTTAAAAATCAATTTTGGACCATTAAATCCTTATTAGCAATCAATTAATAATTTCATTAAAAAATTAGGTAATAGAAAATATTATAAAAAACCCTGTAAATCAATTCAAATTTTCTTTTTCAAACATATTATTATATTGGTCAAAATGAAATAATATTGATAGCCTAAAAAAATGAATAAAATTAAAGCAACAATAAAATAGAAAAACAAAAAAAAATATAACCAAAAAACAAAGAACAAGAGAAAGAAAAGAGCAAAAACGCTTAGAAAATGCCATTTTTGATATCATGAATTTAAGAGAAAACTTTCCTTTTTCTCTCACCATATGCACATTCAGGCTTTTAACTAAATTTATTTTATCTATTTTTATGTAAGGATTATCTAGGATTTTCTACATAAAGTTAACAAGGATTTTGTTTTTCTCTAAGCAATTTTTTTTTTCAATTTGTTTTCTTTTTCAACTTCTTGTTTTTATTTATTTAAATTTTATTAATTCAATAAAAGAATAGAAAATACAAAAAATAAATGGAAAGAGTAAAAACTTTTTATATTTATTTGTATTTCTTATTTTTTTTTCTCTCTTCTTCCTTTATTCTCACACTTCATTCTCTTGAACTTTTAAAATATCTTCTATTTTATTGTTTATGTTGTGGATACCCCACAATTTTTTGTACATTATGTACAAAAATGTCTCAGCTGTTTTTCAGGGTAATAAATTATGTTTAATTAATGTCTAGCCAAGATAATATGTTAAGTATTTTAAGATATACAAAAATGTGGTTGTCCAAATATTTAAATTTTCGGCTATAGAATAAATGAGAAAGCCAAAAGAATAAGAATAATAAAAAGGAAAAATGAAAAAATATTTTGAAATATTTTAAAAATAAAATAAATTCATTTTTGATTGCAATTCATTTAAATTCTCTAGACTAGGATAATCGTTTCATATTTAAATGAAAATTGAGTAGAAAATTTTAGTAGAAAAGTTTGATATAAGGGTATTATAATAAGTATACGCAGGGATTTGGTGATTAACAATATTAAAATTTTTCGATATATTTTAAGGAATTTTGTTTAATTTATTTGCTTTGTTTGACTTTTATTTTTTTGTGGTTAATAAAGGAATTTTTGGATTTTTCACAATATTTTTAAAATAAAACTTTTCTTTTATTAATAAATTTCAAGGTTTTCAAGGTTATACAAGTAATATAATTTTTAGATCATATAAAAATATAAAGCCCACACGAGACATGGTCCTCTACTAGTCTCATTTAAATTTTTATATTTAAAGGCGAATTAAAATTTTGTACATAATGTGAGAATACTGGTGTAAGGAGGTGGATGAGAAAAACAAAATTTTGTAAATTTTTGGAATAATTTGAAAATAAATTTTGCATGAAAGGTCGAATTAGTTAAAATAAATTGATTTTTTTTTTTTGTTTTTAGTTATAATTGCTTGGATTTAATATTTTGAGTTATTTAAAGTTATTAATAAGATTTTGGTTACAGAACGAGATTAATGTACCAGTATATTCAGATGAAAAAATATACGCAGTCTACATATTCCTCGTAATATGGTCGTTTTTACATGCTTCAATCGTGAATATGCAATTATAGAAAATTTTCAACTAATTTTACTTATACTAGAAGTCGTATTTATTTTAGTCGACTGCTACTTTATATTAATAATAGCCGATTTGCTGAGGGGTGCGAATGACTTTATTTTGTATAGGTTTCTTTAAAATAAAATCATAAACATTTTGAGTTTTGAATATAATTTACTTTGATCGAAAATTTATTTGAAAATTAACTTATACAATATTCGTTGAACAATAAAAGGTTTTTACAAATATTAAGTTTCCAAAATTTTAAAACTTTTCATGCTACTTTAATGATATTTTCATAATAAATACAGACCAGCGACTATTAATGAATTATTTAAAATATTAGAGTTATGAAATTTTTACCATGCCTTTAGCGTCAAATATAATTTCAATGAAAATTAAAATAAATATAAAGTTCTTATATTAGCACATAAATAGTTTTTTACATATAACCATTTAAGAGATTGTAAAAAAAATTTCAAGTACCGAACGAATGACCGCGTATTTAGTAATGTGCGCGGCTAATTAAATAAGGCTCCCACAAAATATCTTTTAGTTAATGTACTGGAATTGAACGCCATGTATACATGAGATAGTGCTTGTGTGAAAAATAATTTTATTTTTCTTTTTTTTTCTGTACCCTTATTTCCTATTTATACCGAAAGTTTTATTTTTATTTTTCAAATTCACTGCACAACAATGCATTTTAATTAAGAATAAACAAATAAATGGTGTCGCTTAATTTATGCTTAATGAATGTGAATGAAATTTTTAAGTAAAATGTGAAATCAAAATTTATTTTTAGTGTTGTTGAAATTTAGTTTTTTTTTTTCTTTTTTTAAAATTAACACTTTGTTTTGTTAAAATAAATATTCGAGATAGAGTTAATTTACATTTCACATATGTATGTTGTATAATATTAAACTGTGCAATACAAAAGAATAGTAAACAGCTGATTTGTTTATGAATTTATAAAATAATGTAAAATGTATATGTAAAGGTTAAAACAAGATTCTCATACTAATTTGTACCACATTAGTTTGTTCAAAAGTGAAGGTTTAAATTTTTGCGCATAATATTATACTTATTCGATATGAAGAATATTTTTAAATATTTTGTTCAGGAGGGATATTTTGCTGGGGGGTACTGAATAATTTTCTGATTTTTAGAAAATTAGCAAAAAGAATTTTTAGATTCTATTTAATTGGAACTTATAAAATTTTTAATATGTATGATTTTATAAATGATGGACAGTTAAATGGTCAATCTTTAATAATTACACTTGATTTATTGTTAAAAAGTTTAAATATTTTCCTTTAACTTTATAATGAACTTTCCTTTGTAGCCATTATCAAAAGCCCACAATAATTTTTTGTAATTTTGGAACTAAAACCAAATGCTTGTTAAAGAGGGAAAATTTTTTTGGAAATTTCTACTGAACTCCTATTTTTAAAAATAAGTTAACATTTAAATTTTTTTAAAGAAACACGGCTTCTAATTTTTTCAAAAGAATGAATTTTCCACAACAAAACGAGCTTCTACATTAACTATGCCACCTACTTTCTCTGATAAAAATTCAAATTTTACAAATATTTTGTTAATTTTTATACATTAATAAAGCATAAAAATTATATCAGTTAGATACAGAAAAATTTGCATTAATACAAATATGAGTTAGTCTTATTCCTCACTTTTTCCATATTTTAATGTGTTATGGCACTGTTACTCTGTGAGCTATATTCAATAACTACAAAACCTTATTATCTATAATAATTCAGTTAAAATTGATTTACAATATTCATTTGTTTATTTTTCAATAAAAAAAAAACAAACACACTTACTAACAATTAAAAGTATAAAATTGTTTCAATAAAAATAATAAACAACACAACAGTAACAATAATTATACATGAAATATGAAAAATAAAAAAAATATGAAAACCACAAAATCATTATTAAATAAAGTAAAAACAAAATAATAAAAATGATAACTGAAAATTACAAACAAACAAGAGAAAGGAAAATGGAAGTTAAATTAAAATGAAAGTAGAAAATGAAAATCTAACAATGTTTTTTTTTTCATATACGAGTATGTACTCAATAAACAACACGTTTTAACAGTTATAACATGCTACGTTTACATTCATTATAATAAGGATACACACTTTCATATGTACGTATGCATATATGTACCTCTGTATATGTATTTAATAAAAGATATCAAAAAAAATAGTGACAGTGTAATCAGTAAAATGGGAAATTTTTTTGTTTCGGTTTTCATATGTAAGTCAGAGATGCACAAATTATTATTTTGAACATTACATGAGTGAAAAAGAGATGAATAACGAAAAATGAAATAAAATAATAAGAGAAAAACAGGAAAAACAAAATAAATACCGTTATGATAACCTTCACAACATTTCAATATTCTTTCATTTCTATTCACTTATTTTCTTTTTAATTTTCTCTTTCTTTCTTTTATGTCCTTTCTTGGTTTAATCAACCCTTCTTTCACTCCTGTATATACCTACATATATTAGTTTTACTTCATTCCCTGATTACATAAATTTTTTTTTCTCTCCTTCTCTCTTTTTTCTCCTTAACTTTTCTTCTTTCTCTTATATATGCTCGCTGAATTCTATTATTGTTATTGTGACATGAATGCACTATTTAACATAAAAAACATGTTCCCAATTTAATGTAAAAATTAAAATGGAAAAAACAAACCAGAAAAAGAGGAGTGAAAAACCAACATAATATTTTTATATATATAAAATAAAATAAAGAAAAAAAAAACATTAATATAAAAAGACAGTAAATTTTCGTTTTCAATTTATGTTTTCCATTTTACTAATGAAGATTTTTCAAATATACTTAAATTTTTTGTTGTTTTAATTTTGATTTTCTTGTTTTTAAGTTAAAAATATTCACAATATTTTTTATTTTATTTTACAATTTAAATGTTAGTTCACCTTTTACAATTTTTTGTGTACATATATGCACAAGAAATGCAAGTTGATTCCATAATATTTATAGTATAAAATAAAAGATGACAAAGTAGGGAATGTTGAACAGGGTAAATCAAGTGAATTTTGTATGAACATAAAAAAAAAACATAAATTTGTTGAAATTGTTCGAAAACTATTAAACAAGAAAAAATTGTGTGAGTATATTCGTCTGAAATTTTACAGTGCTCTCGAACAGCCAGCAGTTATAAGAAACATAGGAGCTGTACAAATTGTACTCAAAACAAAATGAATAGTTATTTTGTTTGTTAAATCACACAACAAGTGATGAATGAACAAAATTGAAATGTACCACAATAATTTATTTTTGACTTATCAAATGTATACTGACATGATACATTTAGATTGACAATCAAGTGTATAAACTTGGAAATTCTGACCATGGTAAATTTGTTAGCATTTTGTTAAAAACCTGCCTCTGATATGCATCTGCTTCACCATAATGGTATTCATCCAGCTATACTAGAGATGTGTCATAGCTCATGAATGCTATTTTATACGGAAATAAATTAGAATTTGTAGTAAAGAAATGCAAGTTTGTAAAGAAATTTTGATAATTAAATTTGAAGTAGTTGCTTTTCGAATTATACGTGGGTATTATATATTTCATTTGTACTATAATTTGGAGCCTTGTTGTCTTTCTCACTATTAAACTAGGCAAGTGAGAAAAAAATGAGTAACCATTTAAAATGAGTACCAATTTTCGACTGAGAAGAATTGTGACTTTATTTTGAAAAATGAGACGTTCAGTCGATAATTTTAGAAAAAAAGCAAAAATCCAAATGAAAAAACAATCTTATTGGAAAAGTAAAATATCTATTAAATCAGTGATTAAAAAAAGGAAATACACGATAGGGCTTTTAATCTGTTTTAAGGACAATCTTTGACGTCACATGTTTCAATTAATAAGTGAAAAATAAATAAATTTAATTTAATGTTAATAAAAATTTAAAGATCCTACACCTTTACATGGTCTATATTTCTACTTAACTTCTTCATGAAATTATTTATGTTTTCTATAAATTTTATTCCACATTTAAATTTTATTCCTTCTTAAATAGTAAAAGTGCATTGTATTTTAACCGCCCATTGTTGTATTGGTTTCTACTATCTTAACTTTTTGTTATTGTTTTTTCAAAAGTTATGTATCCACTCAATATAATAATAAAATGTTATACAAAAATACATATAAAATTATATTTTAAGAGCTGCACAATGACTTTTAACATCACCCACCAAACATTGTGTACCTTGCATATACGTTTTATGTATGTAAGAAAAATAATATTTGTTTTAGTTATTATTTTAGTTTAGAGTGTGAAGTATTGCACTTAAAAGTATATACAATATAAGTGATTTTATTTTTACTCATAACTATTTTATATAAGTTTTCTTTTTTCAATGCTTTTTAACCTTTATTTGTATAGTGTTTGAATGAAAATGTCGCAAGTGAGAAACATTTTCATTGATTAAATTAAAAATTTCATTTATTAAAATAAATATAATAAACTTTTCTTTATATGAGAGCAGTGTTATGTAAAAATTTTAAACTTGAATAAAATTCAAGTGGAATAAAATAAACACTATTGATGCATTATAAAAATTGTTGCCGTATTTCTACATATAGAAGAATAAAATTGAAGATTTTGGTTCTGTTTCAGGCAATTCTGAAGTAATATATACATGATGATTCCATATAAAGAGTACATATTGTATTAAAATCATTGTTTAAGGAATCAAAAGTGATTGAAATTTTTGTTCAGAACTGGTTGTTAAATCTCAACGGTATCCGAGATAAAGGCATTTTAATGAATTTTCACGAAATTTCTACTTGGCTCTGCTTTTTTACTTATAACTTCCCTTCCGTAGTAAAAAAGTAAGTTTCAAATGAATAGTTTCTGCAAAGGTTATTAAATAGCTTGAATGTCATTTATTACATGATTTTGTATCTTATATACTTTCAGAATACCAAGCATTCGAACTTTAGAAAAAATCAAATTTTAGCCTTATTTATTTTTTAGTTTTTTTTGAACCCGATGATAATTTCGTACGAAATTTTTTGAAACTTTGAATTGTTTTTTTTTTACAAAATTTTATTCAGTTGCTTAACTTTTTATTTAAGTCATTAAAATGTTAAAAAATCTTTAATAGCAAGGGACTATATGCATAAAAATCATTTTCTATATCAAGATTTTAGAGGCCCTAATAAAATTTAAAAAAATGTAAAAATTGTCCCTATTTTTTATTTTTATGTGGAAATTTAAATGTGAAAAATTTGAATTGGAAAACGGGCTATCAATTTCATATTAAGTGGAATAATGAAAATATGCCTGGATGCGGTACATCAGTCGATAAAAACCTAATGTTTTTAACAGCAAAAAAAAAAAATTTTTAGTTTTATTTAAAGCTTATTTTAATATGAAAATTTTTAAATAAATTTCATTTATTACAAACGCTTTAAATAATTATTCAAAATTTAAATTAATTTGTTAACACTTAGCAAAAAGAAAATTTTATTAGAAGAATTAAATATAAAATTATTTTTTTAAAATAGTGTCAAATTTAAAGTATACGTATGTGTATTTGTCTAAAGTATTCAATTTGGCAATCATTTCAGAATTTTATACAATATTCTAAAATAGTAAAAATAATTCAAAAAATTTTTAATATAAAAGGGGAGCATATAAAGCAAGGATAATTGAAAAATAAAATAGAATTAAAAAAAAAAGCAAAAATACTAATAAATAAAAGTCAGTGAAATTTTTTGAATTTATTCATTCTCTTATAATTTGGCTTATAGTTTGTGACTTTTAATAATTAAGAATTTGAAATTTAATTTTCATTTAATTATTTCTTATTACGTTTTTTTCTTCTTTACAAAACTAAAAATAGCTGTGAAATATTTGAATTGAAAATTATTAAAATTAATTTTTCTTTCCTATTTTTTTTTTCTATTCATTTTTATCTTCTTTTCGTCTACTTGTATTTTATTATTGCTGTAATATTTTGCATTCAATTTGCTTGAGAGCCTGGAAAATTAGGATGTTATAAATAGGATTTTATTCTTTTTAAAATTTAATTTTAAGAATATTTTATTAAAATATCGCAAGTGACTTGCATATATATTTGAAATTTTAAAGGAACATTTGAAACTGGAAAGAAGCGAATCAATTATTAAATTAGTCCTTATTTATAAAGTGATTAATAGTACGGTTTACAGTCAGGAAAATCGGAATAAAGAATAATATTGATGAAGACATATAAAAATATTGTGGTATTATAAATTTAAGGAGTTGGAATTTTATTTGTATGTGCTTCGAATTCCATTATTTTTTAATCTCTAACAAAATTTTAAAAATTGCTGTTACATAAGTAAATTTGTAAGTTTCATCGCAAAAATTTTCTGCATCTTATACTTATTATTTTAGAGCATAAAACTTGTTAGCTCATATGTTTTCCGATTAATTCATATTTTCCATAATGGTACAGTCTCTTAACTAATGAATGCAATTTCAATTGCTTTGGTGTATTTTTCGTGT